AAATTTTGTTTATTCCTTTTTTAAAGTTGGGTCTAACTAGAAATAAAACACAATACACATTTGTTCCATTTTTATTTCCTCCAGTCATATCAGAATATCACATAGTGTTCCTATCACAGAATTCGTGGTATGTTTAACATTTCACTACGTCTATTTAGCTTCAATCGCATTTCCCAGAGTTGCTTTGCAAACGTAACCTTTTAGAGCTAGTACACCTCTACATTTTATATGCACTTGATATCTCGCGCACCAATCCAAGTTGTTACAGCCGACGCCCGCGTCTGTTATCGTTTTCAAAGCAGCTAGAGAGAGGAGATCTGGAAAATAAAACAAGTATTAAGGTTAATAGTTTCATTCGCATATCCTTAACTTTTCTTATAAAACTAAGTGATTAAATACGTAAATTAAGAAAAATTAACGTACAAGTGTTCGAAAATGGCATCTCGCTTTTAAAGGAAAGTTTAACTTTCTCATACAATAGATGGCGCTATTAGGATTTTTGTCAAACATTCTAATTTGGTGCAATATATAGATGTCGGTACTAGTACGAAACAATAAACCTGGATAGATGACGTTACTAATATCGATACAAACCTAGCGAGATAGATGGCGCTAGTAGTATGAAACAAAACGTGTGTAAATCAGTTCTGAACCGACTTAAAAGTTGCAAACGGAGTCGCGGAGCTAGCATCAAATAACACTAACCCGGTGGATCAGCATGGGTGAGTAGCTGTACATCATTAGCACGGCAGAATGCGTGCAGGGAAGGTGGCACGACACAACAAGAGGCTAGATTTATCTGCGCAATGGCGGGCTTGACGCGCGCCCACGCATGCAACTTGCGTAGGCACCCGCCGCCTACATCCGCCACGCCCAGCTGGTGTACACGACCTATGTACATAGATTTAGACAATATTAGTTACAATCCTTTGGCGTGAACGACGTGCTTTCGTTACAAAGTCAAGGTGTCAACCAGTTTACGCTATTAATTTATTTAGACATTTCTGTTTTTGTAACAAACTAGCTGTCGCTCGTGACTCCTTCCATGCGGAATTAACAAAACCTTAGTATCCCATGTGTTCTTCCAGACTATGTTCTACATATGCCAAATTTCATCTAGATCCATGCAGAATTTCTGGAGATATCTTCAATCATCCATCCATCCATCTAACCATTCGCATTTATATAAGTAAGATGATACTACATTTGTTTTCGAGACCTATGATTTATATTTTACTAAATATTAATATTATAAATGCGAATAGATGGATGTTACTTTGAAGATATCTCCAAAATGTCTGAATGGATCTCGATGAACTTTGGCATATATATAGAACATAGTCTGCAAGCACACATAGACTACTAATAAAGATTTTTTTGTTTCACGCGGACAGAGTCACGGACTTCAGCTAGTTATAATTAAAGATATATCACCTTCTTTAACATAATCCTCTAGCACCGCCCACAGTACTTTAATCCCAGGCAGTATAGCTTCGCATTTCCTCGCATCCGCTTCGCTGTCTGCTTCCATCTCCGTACTGGATAAACGACCTGGGAATGCAGAACTTTTTTTAAACTTAATTATGAAATCTTGAGGTAATTTTAGGGGGTACATGGGGGGGGGGGGGGGG